GAGAGCTGAAGATAATACAGCAATATGGTGGTGCTCAGGCTGGGTTTATATAGGGGAAGTAATGAGTGTGCTGTGTCACTTCCTGTGCGCCACTTTGGCACATTTCCGTATTGCTGGATGGATTCGACTGTGCATGCGCTGAAGATCACGTTGCCGCACGTTACGGGACTGCGCACTTGGCGCATGCACGGTTGGTTCTTACAGATACATTAGTGCATAGTCATTATTCACTTCCACAAACTATGGCATTTTGTTGACTGCTCAACAATGGGCATTATCTATCTGCTTAACTGTAAGTGTGGAGCATTCTGTATTGGAAAAACAAAAAAAAACAATTTAAAAGGGGGGTCTATGATTACATATATCTGATCGAGTCTGGCAAATTATTGAGCCCGATGTAGGCTTCTCTCATAATTTTGATAATTGTGTAATATCTTTTGTTGCTTTGGAAAGAGTAAATCAAGGCCCAGGGGAAGGGAACTGGGATAAGATAAGAGAGGCACACTGGATTTGAACAAAAGGCCACATGTCCACCTGGATTAAATGACATGTTTAGTTTCAAACTGTTTTTAGAACAATGATGGATAGATATGATAATATAGGTCAGGTGATACTTACAATACATGACAGTGATATGTAATGGCCATTGATGTTTAATATAAACTTATTTATGTATTTGTAATTTATTTGGAATGTACCATGCATGGTGTTGGGATATTGATTTTTCCAAATAACCGTAATGCTTAAACATTGAATTTATTGATCTAACTTGTTTTTATATTATTGTTTTACATGTTGTCTTCTTGTTTTTCTCCACTAGGTGTCGATGTATCTTCTCTACAGTGGACATTTGGGTGTCTGATATATGGCACTACCTTAGCCATTAGGATAAGCATGTATCTTCCCTTGGTCATCGGGTCACGATTGTTGATTCGTTCCCCCCCTCTATATTTTGTCTCCTTGGTGGACAACATGGGAGGGACATGTATTGCTTTCCATTGCTTCCGTGGTTTCTGCGCTTAGCTGACATTGAGCGCATGGCTTATTGCGCGGCGCGAGTGCTATGCTGACGTTGGGCGCCGGGTGGTGACATCATCAGGTATCAGCACATGCACAAAGATGCATGCGCCATGATGGTGGCAAACGCCAAGTGCCATTTTTATGGCATGGCGGGATACATAAGGGAGGGTTAGCTAGGTTTAGGTAGCCCACTTAGCACCTCTACACCTACTGTGCTGCCGGATGGTTTAAAGTAAGCCCCCCTTTTC